AAAAAAAAAAAAAAAAAAAAAAAAAGGGAAGAAAGCTGGCATAACTGCTGGGATGATAAAGTGTCTCCACCCTGACCTTTCTCACCACTAAATGTCCTTCACAATTTGTTTTTCAGTGTCATGTCACCACCATTAACGTGCTATTTGGAGACCACTGTAGCTCAGACTTCCAAGTCAATAACAAAGATCTGAAGGTCAGGAAAAGATTTACGGAGACCAATGGTTCCTATGGTCCATTCCACCAACTTGATGAATTTCCTGTGAAAAGTTACTTTTTTTTTTTTGGCATAGAAACAGCAAGTCTAAGCAAAAAGTGCATGAGCAAGTAACTAAACTTATGCCTATTAATATGACGCAGATTTTTTTTTTTTAGGTTGAAAGACTATTTTGGTACTAAAAAGGACATGTCCCAATATCTATTATTTACGCTTCAAACTAAAGTCAGCCGTTTTTCTTTTTCAGGACATATGGCATCTGGCTCGAAATCAATTGCAAGAAAAGCCCAATTCTATTTGATACATTAAGAGCTCCTTCCAATACCCTCTCCTTCCATTTACATCACAGGGAGCGACAGAGGCTTAAGGTTTAATGCCCGACCCTAAAGCCACTCATCCTAAAAGACGGGACTCCAGATGGATGCTGTCTGGCAGAGGATGAGGCGCTCTGAGAAGCTGCCAAACCTCGGATGTGCAGCTGGGCTGAATCCCGACGCCAGAGTCCAGCGCCCATCACTTTACACCCACATTTAGGAAACAACCCACTCCTCACCGCGGGACTGGGACCCAGCCCTCCCGCACCCAGCCTCCGCCTCCGGCGTCGGCGCGTGACCTCCGGGGACCGGAGGAGCTCGGGGCGAGGAGGTTCCTCCGCCTTCCGGAGAAGTTGTCAAGGGCCAGTTCGGGTTGCGAGCGGATAGCTTACTCACTGCAGTGGCCCGGCATCCTCCGTCGTCCGCCCGCGCTTCTTCAGGAAGCTCCTAATGCGGCGGCAGCCTGATAGCAGCAGCCGAAGCTGCCGCCGCTGCTTCCACTCCCAGCAACCGCCTGGGAGTGGCAGGGACAGTCGAGCGATTTCACATCATCATCACTCGGCGACCTCGGTTCTGCAGCCACAACGGGTCAATGGCAGCCCCCACACAATTGGGGAAGCCAGAGGAGACCCACTCTCCCAGCGGCCTCCACGGCCCAGCGCAAGACCTGCTGGGACTTGTAGTTTTCTGGCCGCCCCGCCCCAAGCTCGAAGGCCCCGCCTTCGCACCGCTCAGCCCCGGGGCAAGAGGCGGGGCCGCGTCCCTGCGGGTAGCCTGGAGCTGGGGCAGAGTTCCAAGCTCACGGCCCCGGTTGCGGCCGCACCGCCCTCCCGCGCCGCGCGCCGGGAGCGGGCCTAGAGCGCTCGCCTACCACCTCCGCGAGCCGGTCTCCGGCGCCCGCCCCGGTCCGCACCGCTGGCAGTCTGAAGAGAGTCACTGGCCGTGGTCGCCGCTAGGGTAACTAGGGGAGGCAGGCCGGGGAGGGAAAGGTGGGGGACGTGAGGGAGTGAGCCTCGGTCCGCTCAAGCCCGGGAAGCCCAAGGCCAGAACGCGCCAGCCCACCTCGAGCCGCGGCACCGGCGGCTGACGGAGCCGTGGCAAAAATGCGGCCCCTGCGCTCGTGCAACTCGGGCTCACCGGGGCCCCGGGCCGCGGGTTCTGAGCCCCCTCGGTGGTGCCTGCCGGGTTGGCCGTGCCAGGTGCGCGGAGCCCAGGCCGCCCGGACGCCCTCTCCCCGCAGCCCTCACTTTTGGCCGCGCTCTCGGGCTTGGCGAGTTTCCACACCGAAGACACCCTCAGACCCCAGCTTTATCTGCCGCCTTCTGCAAGTTCGCTGCAAAGTCCCCCAAAGCAGGACTAGGAAGGAACCTTTTACAAAATTAAATGCTCGAGTGTCGTTTTTGTCCTCGGTTTGTCAGTTCAGCGCTGTGTTATTCCCTGCTGGGTCTGTTGTCAAGTACCTTTTCCTCAAAACTTGATAAGAACGTGTAACACGGAGCCTACCTAGTAGCACGGTGCCTGACACACGGTAGGCGCTCAGTAAAGATTTGTTGAAAGCATGAGTCACTAAGCTTGGAAAATTCTCCCGAGCTGTGCGTCGCTATGATCTTTAAGATTTTAGGGATTCTCAAAATCACTTTGAAAATTACAGTAATTTTAAAGCTCAACAAAGAGAGTTACATCGGGTTATTTTTGCATTCCCTGTAGCAATGGCCTCTGTTGAACGTCTAAATTAACACAAAACTCCTGTTCTGTGAGTAGATGAGCCCTTGTGGTTTCTACAGAAACTGTTAATCTTTCAGATTAAAGTCTTCACATGAACCATTCTATTACGGAAGAAATTGAAATTACTTATAAAGCTTTATTGTAATTAGCTTTTAGATACATGTGCAAGGGATTGCACTGATGTACTTGTGAATACATTCAGAAATATCGGTCTCTTAAGTATGACTTTTTTTTTTAAAGAAAGGGTTTATATTCATATCTCGTGAAAGAGCATGCCAGAGAAAATTATAATAACAGCAAATTCCCCACTCCCACCCCTTTGCTGGGTGCAGCTGCTGCCTTGACCTCAAAATGTCTTGTAAAATTATCTCTAAATAGTCTGGTGTATCTAAGGCAAAAATCTCTGGGATTAAACCACCCCATAGGGACAACCCTTTTAGTACTAACAATTCTCATCAGAGTGTGTCTGTTTCTTCTGAGCTTTTCAGAAAGGAAAAAAAAAAATGTAATGGAGTTTCAAATTGTTAACACAAAATCGTAACAACTTGCTGACACTGAGTGAAAAAAGCAGGATACAAAGTCATAGTAACCAGAAAATTTGGTTAGCCATGACAACCATAACCTTTCTGCTTGTGGGAAGGTCAGATACAAGTGGCCAGGGCCTGTCAGCCTTGATTACCAGTGGGTGTCCACAGTGCCTGACCTGTATTAGCCATTCATTAAACACTTGTGTAATGATTACTTGGCTGCTACAGATTAACAGTGTAATGACTATGGGTGTGTAGTTTCTTCCTTTACTTGGATAGCTCCTTAGAATAGATGGTTAGTAGGAATTTTACTGGGTCAAAAGGTAGAATATTTTCATGATTATTGAAACATTGACAACCTGCTTTCCAAATAAGCCTTACCATTTTGTACTGCCATCAGTATATTTGAGTGTACTTTTCAAAGCATAGTTCAAGTTGATACAATGTTTGCTAGTTAGGGGCACTTTGAGATGTAACTCATTTGATCTCAGTCACCTGGAAGGTTGACAGGGCAGGCATTACTTTTCCCCTTTTGCAGCACGGCAAACTCCAATGTCTTAACTTGACGGTAATGAATGCCAGGTGACTAAATGATCACAACCTTTCAGGTCTGTCTTCCTCCCAATCTCTACCTTTGGTTCATAGTGAACATCCTGAATAAATTCACCTCTTTCCTTAGTAATAAAATTGGATATTGCTTTTTTGTTTTTATGGTTTACAAAATCTTACCTTTCTCATTTTGCTCACATACTTGTAGATGGATTCATCAAGTTTGGGGACTTCATTAAATTGAAATAATGAAGCACAATTTAGATGAAAGATGATGTTGGTTAGATGTAAAGGAATACTCTATACCTGCAAACTTACAAGATTGCCACCCTTTCTATTAATAAAGGTCTGGAAACCTTCGATGGTGTTTTTGTATCTCCTTGAATTAATTTCCTAGTCTGTTCTGATTCTTTCCCGTATTTGCTGGTCAGGGACCCCAAATGATTTAGTAGGTAATTAATCCAATAAGAAAGAGTTTTGGAAAGTCTCAAAGTTTAGTTATAATACATGGAATCATTGAAAATTCTTGGAGTTTATTTTAAGTGACACCGTTGATATCAAAAGTGAGTCAAAAATTGGTTTTCTATATTGCTTTCAAATTTGCACAGCATTCTTTAAAAAACAAACTATAGAAAAGATAGGGAATGTATATGTAAATACTTTGAGGCTTTGGAAATATTCAGAACTTCTTTTCTTTTTCACTCGGCTTCTTTGTTGTGATGTCAGATCCCAAATAATGTTCAGTTAAAAAAAATATTCTTTAAAGATGCTTTTCAGGAATGTCTCCTTGAGTCAAGGAGTAGCTGCCTATATATTGGATGTCAAGGGACAGCTGCCTAAATACTGGATGGGTTTAAGGCAATTAGTTCTTTAAGGAACTTTTATGTGATTCTAAATTATTTTGCTTTTGTTTTTTATAGTAGGATATATCTGCATTTTGAAAGGAAGATAAAAGCCTTCTTTGGAATAGATGGATTTTTGTCACTTTCTGTGAACTAAAGCGATTCAATGTCTCTTTTGGTAAGTTTTTGTTAACATAGATCTGATTTTGTTCTGTCAGAGTAGTTGGATGTTAATGCCAAGTCATAATAAAAGGCATATTCTGATGGGATATTCTTAGGCTCTGAGATGTTGTTTTGACCGGATTGACTTCTGGACTTGAGAAATGAATCACATTCTCATTGAGGTTTTCTTTCTTTCATAAAGAACTTCTCCTATCTTCTGATAGTCTCATTATTCTAATCCTTTGTCCCATATCTACTTTTTCTCATAGGTGTTACACTTAGATATGGTGCTCATACCTGTTAGCTATGCCTTATCTTTTAAATCTTTCAGAAACTCCTTTTACAAATTTTTGTCTGACCAAAGGCCAAACAGTGTTTAAAAATAAGCCCTTTCAGGAGGCTGAGGCAGGAGAATTGCCTGAATCCAGGAGGCAGAGGTTGCGGTGAGCTGAGATCGCGCCATTGCACTCCAGCCTGGGTAACAAGAGCAAAACTCTGTCTCAAAAAAATAAAAAATAAAAAAATAAGCCCCTTGACTTAACTGGAAAAAAGTAATTTGGATCAATGTATAATATGAGGTATAGCTGCCAACTGGTTTTTTATTTATATTTAGATCCATGGTATCTACTTTAGATTAAGTAGCTTGAGGACTTTCATTGTGTTTTATACATAATATTTGAATAGGGAATACTTATATTAAAACAGTGGTCTTTTAGAAAGTAATGAGTAGACCGAGAGTAGTGGCTCACATCTGTAATCTCAGCATTTTTGGGGGCTAAGGCTAGAGGATCACTTGAACCCAGGAATTCAAGACCAGTCTAGGCAACGTAGTGGGACCCTGTCTATATAAAATATTAGCCAGATGTGGTGTCACATGCCTGTAGTTTCAGTTACTCAGAAGGCCAAGGTGGGAGGATCACTTGAGCAAGGGATCGAGGCTGCAGTGAACTGTGATTGTGCCAATGCATTCTAGCCTGGGTGATAGAGGGAGATCCTGTATGATGATTTGTAGTTTATAAATACTTTCATATATTTCTTTCATAGTTTCAAATTGTGGAAAATTAGCAGGGCAGGTAGCATTATCTTCATTTTCAGTTTGTCTAAGATTGCAAAATATTGAAGCCAGGTATCAGACTCATACCTGCCAATCTATTCTATCAATTACCAAGGCTGAGAGGCAGAACTATGAAGGTAGAAGACTGTATTGTTAGTAATATGGAAAATACATAACACATTTACTTACCTGTTTAAAGTAAAGCTTTACCACTTGAAAGAGGAGCTTTATATATCTGGAAAATACACGGAGGTGAAATGCCTTACTCTCTAAAGGAGGGATCAGCAAACTTTTCTGTAAAGGCCAGATAGTATTTACATGCCCTTTGGTCTTTGTTACAGCGATTTTTCTGCTGAAATACTAGCAGTAAAGCAGCCATAGGCAATATATAAATGAATGAATGTGTCTGTGTTCCAGTAAAACTTTATTCACAAAAACAGGTGATTGGTCAGATTTGGCTCATGGACCATAGTTAGTTTACCTTCCCCTCCTCTAAAGGATTACTTAAGATTTACAATTTTACGAATTGTAAACATTTGCAAAAAGATAGAAAGCAAAATCAGCAAAGGAAAAATGTATGTGGGGTGAAGTTCAAAGGAAACCAGGCACAGGCTTTCAAGAATCTTTTCTTAGTGCAGTCCCATAGGATATGCACAGTTCGCCCAGAGTTGTGACACATGAAATGTTGTCTGCTAGGGAAGCTCATTAGAGACTCGGATTTAAGGTTTTTATTGGGGACTTGTCCTGTGGCACTGTCTGCTAGCAGGTAACAAAATTCCAGTCGCCCAGAGCAAAAAGCCAGGTGTTCAGCATAAACCGTATTATTTGCACCAACAGTTGAGACACAATGAGTGATTCTTAGGAAGGGAACCTCTGCAAAATCCCAGTTCCCAGATATGAGCCAAGGATCAAATTTATAAGCAGTTCTTTTCTAATAGCTCTTTTCTAATAGGCCTACTATGTTAATTCTTCTTTTGCACAGTGGTGGTAATGGTTGTTGTGAAAAATTCAAGCTAAATGTTGCCAAAATATATAAATACCAAACAATATATAAATGGCCTGCCTAGCTTGTGGATATTTTCAATATGAACAACACTAGTAAGTGCCTTCAAAAACTGTTTTACTGTAAATGTTATTCACCCTAGGAAGCCATTAGAAACTCTGCAAAGGAATCAGTTGTACGGCCATCTTGACATTGTTAGCATCTGTTCTTCAGGGGGAGTCTTACATAAAACAGTGGGCATATATGCCAAATTTTTGTAATAGATTTATAAAGTATACAGACTGTAGGAATTCAAGTTAAAATAATTGGTAATGTAGGCTAACTGGGAAAATGACTAGTTTGATTAGTGAGAAATTCTGGCATATCTTAAAAGGAAATTTACTTTTAAGTAACTGACTACAAAGAATTAAGTAGACATGGGTAGACGTCATTTGATGTTGTACTTTAATGTTTATATAAAAATAAATGTCCATAAGATGCTTGAAATGAAAAATTTTGAAATGGGCATGGTGGCTCATGCCTGTAATTCCAGCACTTTGAAAGGCCAAGGTGGGCAGATCACTTGAGGTAAGGAGTTTGAAATCAGCCTGGCCAAGATGGTGAAACCTCATCTCTACAAAAATTAGCCGGTTGTGGTGGCAGGCACCTGTAATACCAGCTACTCAAGAGGCTGAGGCAGGAGAATTGCTTGAACCCAGGAGGCAGAGGTTACGGTGAGCCGAGATAGTGCCATTCCACTCCAGCCTGGGCAACAGTGCAAGACTCTGTCTCAAAAAAAAAAGAAATTTTTTCAAATATTGAAAATATTTTGTTAATGAAGCCTCTCCTAAAATGTGTTTATACTTTTCTTTTGACATACTTTTTCTTCCTAAATAGTATAAGGTCAGCTTCACCCCACTGATTAATGATGTGATAAATCACATGTAGATAGGTATTACATTTCTTTATTGGCAATAAATGGTAATAAAACCATGGGTTAATATGCAGAAAAATGTAAATTGTGATAATAAAAGTAAGTCTCTTTTAATTTGCTTTGAGTTGTAATTAGAGATGTTTATCAGCTTTAGAAACTATTTTTTCATTCAATATGTGGCTTAATGTGAATAAACACGGTTTCTATATTTAAGATAGCAAGGATTAAAATAAAAATAATTATATGAATACAGCAGAATAATCTGGCTAAATGTTCAGAAGAAAACCTCAGTGGTATTGACAGTTGGAGTTAAAAATTAACCTCAACAGTTAAAATGAATTATTATCCCCTCTCAAGAAAAGAGAGGGGAAGGATCAGTGATAACACCAAGTGAAGTTCTGATGTATATGAAGTTTGTCTGCATGCCCAGCTACTTTTCCCTTCTGTCCCACACTGAGTACCTCCATGATGTGGATCCTGGCTTCGGTTCCAGGCTCCTGCATGTTGACCTTCCTCTCTGCTTCCCACTCTAGTCACTAGAACTGTTTGTAACTACACACCACCCTTTCTTATCCTATAACTTATTTTTCACTTATATAATGCATTTCTGACTTCCAGGATTGTTTCTGCACTTCAAGAACACAAGTTGAATCACTCAGACCTGAAAAACAGTCTGAAACCAGTATCCATCAATACTTGGTAAGAAAATGAGTAGGCTGGATGCAGTGGTTCACTCCTGTAATCCCAGCACTTTGGGAGGTCGAGGCAAGGGGATCACTTGAGCCTAGGCATTCGAGACCAGCTTGGGCAACATAGTGAGATCTCGTCTTTAAAAAAAAAAAAATGGTTGGGTACAATTAATGCTCTAACTTTCCCTTCTATAATACTATTCCCTCCTGGTTCTCCTCTATTTCTTTTTCTTTACAGGGTCTTTTACTATTTTTCCTTCCTCCTGCCATGTTCCAGGAGTCTGTAACTGGCCACTTCTTTTCTTCCTAAAGTGGCTCTTCCTAAGCAGTTTCACAACTATTACTATGACTTCAGTTGCTCAGATTTCAGATTGTCTTAGAGTACCACAGGTTTCCTGAGGGGACCCTGGCATCAAGCAGAACTGATGCTTCTCAGATTTTTACCTGCAACCCCAGACTCTTTTTCTGGGCAACAGAAGTGTCTCTAGAATACCTCTGATTGGATTTTTCAAAGGCATCTCTACTCAGTTTGAATAAAACCTTAATCTTCTTTCAAACCCACCAACCCACTGGTATTTCCTACTTTGGCTAATGAAAACTCATCTACTGTGTCATCCTAACTCGAAACTTTATCCTCACATGGCCTCTACCTCTGCCCCATATTTATTATTCACCAAGTCTTCTGACTCTGTCTCTGAAATGCCCTGGAGTCTGTCCCTTGCTTCACGTGAGCACTGCTACTGCTTAGGTCTCATTGCTCCTCATCTGGGCTGTTGCAGGTGGACTTGTTGCCTCTAGTCTCCCTAGACACACACCTAGTCTTCTCCCACCACTCACATCAGTGTTCAGTACTGCTACCAATACAGACCTGCTCGTGTCGCTTGCCAGCTTTGAAACTTCCATTGGCTTCCTAAAGCCTATGGGATAATGTCTAAATTAGCATAATATGAGGACTTTTACTGGTGTAGAATGTGTCTAATATTAGTTTCATTTCTTGCTGCTGAGGCTTAGCACATACCCTTCTCTCTACTTGAAATACTCTTCTTTCTTTTCTGCTTCTGAAATTCTTCCTCATCCATAAAGAATTGGTTCAAATATTGTATCTATGAAGCCTTTCCACTTACACTTTTTATTTGGCTCTGCTCCCACATGTCTTAGATATGTCTTAGGATATTTCTTTGGGATATCTTCCTCCCCTTATTGCATACTTTATACTGCAATTTTTGCTACAGAATGGAACCTACCTTGCAAATGCCTTATTTGCTACAAAATTAGTAAATCCCAGTTAATTTTGCTTATGATTTAACCCAGTCCCATCTTCAGTTGTCTTTATTCTGTTATTTTGCTTTTTATTCATTAATACTGTAAAGGTTTCTAATTACCTGTCTTTTCATAAAATAGGATGTAGTATCTGAGGGTTAAAAAAATTTTTTGGGGGTACATAGAAGGTGTATATATTTATGGGGTACCTGAGATATTTTGATACAGGCATATGATATGTAATAATTACATCAGGGTAAATGGGTTATCCATCACTTTACACATAAATCATTACTTCATGTTATAAACATTCGAATTATATTCTTATTTTTAAATGTACAATAAATTGTTGACTATAGTCACTCTGTTGTGCTGTCAAATACTAGACCTTATTCTATCTAACTATATTTTTGTATTCATTAACCATCTCCACTCTGCCTCCCACCCCTTCTTGGCCTCTATTCTGTATCTGCATGAGTTCAATTGTTTTAATTTTTAGCTCCCACAAGTGAGTGAGAACATGTGAAGTTTGTCTTTCTGGGTCTGCCGTATTTCACTTAACATAATGTCCTTCACTTCTATCCCTGTTGTTGCAAATGGTAGTATCTCATTCTTTTTTATGGCTAAATAGTGTTCCATTGTACATATGTACCACATTTTCTTTCTTCATTCATCTGTTGATGGACACTTAGGTTTCTTCCAAATCTTGGCTATTGTCAATAGTACTGCAATAAACATGGGTGTGCATATATCTCTTCAATATGCTGATTTCTTTTCTTTTGGGTGTATACCTATCAGTACGATTGCTGAATCATATGGTAGTTTTTTTTTTTTAGTTTTTTGAGGAACCTCCATACTGTTCTCCATAGTGGCTGTACTAATTTGCCTTATCACCAACAGCATATGAGGATTCCCTTTTCTCTGTATCCTTGCCAGTATTTGTTATTGCTTGTCTTTTTGATAGAAGCCATTTTAACTGGGGTCAGATGATATCCCCTTCTAGTTTTGATTTGCATTTCTCTGGTGATCAATGATGTTGAGCACTTTTTCATATACCTATTTGCCATATGGATGTCATCTTTAAAAAAAATTAATTTATTTTTTTCAGACAGCATCTTGCTCTACCACCTAGGCTGTAGTGCAGTGGTGTAATTGTAGCTCACTGCAACCTTGAACTCCTGGGCTCAAGCAATCCTTTCACCTCAGGTTATTGATAAGCCAGGACTACAGGTATGTCCTACCACACCCAGCTAGATGATGTCTCACTATGTTGGCCAGGCTGGTCTTGAACTCCTGTCCTCAAGTGATCCTCTCACCTCAGCCTCCCAAAGTGTTGGGTTTACAGGTGTGAGCCACTGTGCCCGGAACTATATGTCTTCTTTTGAGAAATGTCTATTAAGATCTTTTGCCCATTTTTAAATCAGATTGTTAGATTTTAAAAATTTGATTGTTTGAACTCCTTATAAATTCTAGTTATTAATCCCTTGTCAGATGGGTAATTTACAAATATTTTCTCCCATTCTGTGGGTTGTCTCTTCACTTTGTTGATTATTTCTTTTGCTGTGCAGAAGATTTTTAACTGGCTGTGATCACATTTGTCTATTTTTGCTTGATTATCTCTATTTTCACGGTATTACTCAATAAATCTTTGCCCAGATCAATTTCCTGGACAGCTTCTTCAATGTTTTCTTGTAGTAATTTCATAGTTTGAGATCTTAGATTTAAGTCTTTAATCCATTTTATTTTATTTTTTAATATAGCAAGAGATAGGGGTCTACTTTTATTCCTCTGCATATGAATATTCAGTTTTCTCAGCACCATTTATTGAAGAGACTGTCTTCTCCTCAGTGTGTACTTTTTGCACCTTTGTCAAAAATGAGTTCACTGTAGATGTATGGATTTGTTTCTGAGTTTTCTGTTCTGTTCCATTGGTCTGTGTGTCTGTTTGTATACCAGTACTATGCTGTTTTGGTTACAGTAGCTCTGTAGTATAATCTGAAATCAGGTAATGTGATTCCTCCAGTTTTGTTCTTTTTGCTTAGGATTATATAATGACCTTCTATGTCTCTTTTTATAAGTTTTGCCTTGAAATTTATTTTGTCTGATACATATATATATATCAACTCCTGTTCTTTTTTTGATTTATATTTATATGGAATATTTTTCTTCAACTCTTTATTTTCAGTCTTTGTGTGTCTTTATAGGTGAAGTGTGTTTCTTGTAGGCAACAGATCATTGAATCTTTTTTAAGTAATTCATTCAGCTACTCTGTGTTTTCATTGGAAAGTTTAATCCATTGACATTCAGTGTTACTATTGATAAGTAAGGACTTAACTACTGGCTTTTGTTACTTGTTTTGTGTTCTCTCCCTCCCTTCCCTCTCCTTCCCTCCCTCCTTCTTCCTTCCTGTCTTCTTCCTTTTTGTGAAGTTGATTTTCTCTGGTGGTGTGTTTTAGTTTATTTTTTATTTTTTTTATATATGTGTTGTAAATTTTATGATTTGAGGTTACCATGAGGCTTGCAAATAACATAACATTATTTTAAACTGACAACACTGATTGCAAAAACATACAGGCAAAGAGAGAACTAATAAAAACTCTACACCTTCATTCCTCCTGTTTTTTAACTTTTTATGGTTCTATTTATATCTTCTTCTGTTTTTTTTTTCTTTTTTTTTAAGATGGAGTTTCACTCTTCTTGCCCATGTTGGAGTGCAATGGTGCGATCTCAGCTCACCACAGCCTCTGCCTCCCGGGTTCAAGCGATTCTCCTGTCCCAGCCACTCAAGTAGCTGGGATTACAGGCATGCACCACCATACCTTGCTAATTTTGTATTTTTAGTAGAGATGGGGTTTCTCCACATTGGTCAAGCTGTTCTTGAACTCCCAACCACAGGTGATCCACCCACCTCAGCCTCCCGAAGTGCTGGGATTACAGGCGTGAGCCACTGCGCCTGGCCTTATATCTTCTTATACTGTTTTGAATAGGTATTGTAGTTACTATTTTTGATAGGTTCATTTTTTAGTCTTTCTACTCAGGATATGAGTTGTTTACACTCCACAGTTACAATGTAACAATACAGCTTTTATCTGTGTAGTTATTATTACCAGTGACTTGTGTACCTTCAGATAATTTCTTATTGCTCATTAACATCCTTTCTTTCAGATTGAAGAATGCCCATTTAGCATTTCTTGTAGGAGAGGTCTAGCATTGATGAAACCCCTCAGCTTTTGTTTGTTTGGGAGCATCTTTATTTTTCCTTCCATGTTTGAAGGATATTTCCACTGGATAAACTATTCTATAAAAGTTTTTCCTTCAGCACATTAAATATGTTATGTTACTCTCTCTTGGCCTGTAAGGTTTCCACTGACAAGTCTGCTGCAAGATGTACTGGAGGTCCTTTATATGTTCTCTCCTTTTTTCTTACTTCTTTTAGGATCCCTTCTTTATCCTTGACCACTGGAAATTTGATTGTTAAATGTCTTTTTTGGGTTAAATATGCTGGGCATTCCATAACCTTCTTATACTTGGATATTGATATCTTTCTGTCTGTTTGGAAAGCTCTCTATTCGGATACTTTTCTCTACCTGCTCGTCAAGGCCAATAACTCTTAGATATGCCCTTTTGATGCTGTTTTCTAGATCTTGTAGATGTGCTTCATTCTTTCATGTTGTTTTTTCTTTTGTCTTCTCTGTGTATTTATTTTGTTGCAATAATTATTTTTTATATACTTTAAGTTTTGGGGTACAT